ATTACGCAGTAATCAACGGCCACTTCCGCCTGCATGCAGGGTAGGACAGGCAGGATTTTACTCTTGTTGTAATGCGGTAGCATTACGAGATAATGGAGCATCGTCGGATCGTAAATATTTTAAAGGGGAAGGAATTTTATCGGGCGGATTTTTACATTCTTGCTTCCTCGCATTGTTCCCCCATTATATCGGCCCGTTTCCACATCGGTGCTTGAGAAATGGAACCTCTGCCGAGTGCTGATTAATTTAAGGGGGAAAAGAAGAAGAGATTAAAAATCGTAATTTGTTGCTCTTCGTAGCTAGATATTATTGAAAATTATGCTTTTATTTTCTTATTTTATTTTTATCATCGAGTTATACCATGCAAGAGGTCGAAGTTTAAATTAGAAGATGGAGGTATTTCTTTTAAAATTTTAATCTTTATCTCCAATTTTTATGAATAAAAATCGTAATAGAGATAATTAATTAAAGAAAGCTAATTCTTTGCAATGTACTTTTGATCCAGGATAATTTTTATAAGAAATTTTAATCGAAGACCGATATTAAATATTTCTCTGTTCTTAGAATGCCCCTTAAACATTCCACCGCGCATTCTCACCTATCTTTTTCCCCACCCCGTATTAAATTTCTAAATATAATACATCATAACGAATTTTCTTCCTCAAAGGACGGTTTAACCACGGTTTGCAGCAAAAAATTTTCATCTTCGTTCTTTTCACGGACCGGAGAAAATTACCGCAAAAATTCATGGACAAGGAAGGAAGCAAGGAAGGAAGGAAGGAAGGATTTTTAGAGAAGAATACGGTCTCCTTAATTATTTATCGTTATCTTTTTCTTATATCAACGGATCCACAACACGACCGACCAACGGTTAATTAAAAATCCGGTTGGAGCTTATTATTCCGTTCGAAACAAAACACGATTTATCAATTAACGGTCCTGGCAAGTAATCAGCGGTTCGATCGATCCGAAACGTGTTAAAAAAAAAAAAAAAAAAAGACACTTTTACACTTGGAAAGAAGCGTCACACGTAGGCCGTGGTATTGACCGATACTATGATATCGTATTTTCGTATTTTTCGTTTAACCAGCCCCACTTTCCGCTTCATTCTCGCTGATGAAAAATATCATCTCCTCTATCGTGATAAACTGTTCGAATACCTGAATACCAATCGTTAAGCCTAAGACTAATTCTCGAAGAAGAGGTTTAACTTTATCACAAAACCGTCTATGCCCCCTCCTAATTTCGAGGAATCACATTCGAATTCGAAATTTTTATATATCGCATTTTAAAAAAATGGAAATATTATATAGTATATTTCGCGTAGCTTGTAACCTGAAGATACAGCAACATTAACGAATGCAATCTTCTTCTTTGCAATCGAAACGATTCGAGAAGACTTCCTCTTCTGCCACGCATGCGCGATGATACGATAAAGAAAAATCTTGCAACCCGGTTGCAGAAAACTGGCGCAATTTATCACCCTGGAGGAATACAAATTGCTCGTTGAGAGTATGAAATAAAACAATAACCCCCTCGAATCGAAACTGCCAATCTCTCTGCAAGCACGACACTCTGGCGCTATTCCAAACCATCCCTTACATCCTCCGTTTCTTCGTTCCGGGGATGCAGATTCCAGATCCAAGATTGCGCGCGCTCATAAATCTTTTAATTTCTGCCCCGATACGAGGGAGGGAGAGATTAACGTGCTCTCTTCGAAGAAGCTCCTCCCTTCTGCCCCTCTAACATATCGAGTATCGTATCGAGTTCATTTCTGCTTATTCGCCGCACTCCTTATCCTCGCTTGGGAAAAATTCTTCTCTGGAGAAGAGGAACGCGCCTCCTCCTCCTCCTCCTCCTCCTCCTCCTCCCCTATTTAACCGAACGAAATAGGTTCGGTTATCGTCATAAATCTGGCGGAGATTTATCGACGGATGCGCCTCCGGTTTCCCCAGGATCGTTTCGCAAACACAACGGAGGAAGCGGAGAAAGGAAACTTCCACCTCCTGTTGTCACGACAAAGGGGAAATGTGGAACGGCCGCCGACGGTATTACGGAACCGAGGCGGCGATCGCGCAAAATGATGCAAGCGAGAGCCCCGCCTGGCTCTGTAGAGAGCACACGGGTTTAACCTCTCCACGGAGGAACAGTTCGATTTCTGATATATACGAGGCGCATTTAGATACGATTCAAGCTGGATCGGGACCACGTTCCACGGTGAGTCTGTCTCCCTCTCTCTCTCTCTCTCTCGCGGTGGGCTTGATGTATAATCTCGGTTTTCTTTATCTCCCGGCAACTTCCCCTCCTCGTCCCTCCGACGGATCGCCGTGTTATTTCTCCCTGTCTACCCAGGCGCTCGACTTCCATTCGCGAACAAAGGCAATGAAATTCCTTCCTTACGTGGACTTTCCGCGCTCCGTTCTCGCGCTGCGCATTCCGATACGGGGTGGTCTCGCGGCGCTCGCTCGGGATATTATTAAAATTGCCCAGAGAGAGAGAATTCTTCGAGTTGAATTTTCTGGATAAGCGCCCGGAAATTGTTATGTATATATATATATATAT